GATTCATTCTCCAAAAGGCCACGCTGGTCCAGGACAAAGCAAGGGACCTGGAACTCAGTTCAGGTCTCCCACATGGGTGCAGGAGCTCAGGTTCTTGGGTTGTCTTCCCCTCTTTTGCAGGCAAATTAGCAGGAAGCTGTATTGGAAGGACTTGAACTGCACCACAATGCCTTTTAAATAAGACAAAAATAAAATATGACCATTGCAAATCTTTTTTTCTATTTGCATTTTCTCTTGATATTACTTGGCTAGCTTCTTTTCTTTTTTTAATTTATTTATTTATAAAGGAAGGCAGATTTACAGAGAAAAGGAGATACAGAGACAAAGATCTTCCAAATACTGATTCATTTCGCAAGAAACCACAACAATCAGAGCTGAGCTGACCCAAAGCCAGAAGCCAGGAGTTTCTTCCAGGTCTCCCACATGGATGCAGGATTCCAAGGCTTTGGGCCAGCCTCCGCTGTTTTCCCAGGCCACAAGCAGGGAGCTGTATGGGAAGTGGAGCAACCAGGACATGAATCGGCACACATGTGGGATTCAAAAGCAAGAATTTAGTCACTGGGCCATTGCACTGGTCCCAGTAGCTTATTTTCTATGGGGAGCCATTAAAATGTAATTAAATTGACCCATTTTCCTTTAGAGTATCCATATTTTATTCATTTTTTAACAAAACATATTTATTTGTTTGAAAGTCAACATTATGGATAGAGGAGGAGAGAGATACACCGAGAAAAAGCTCTTTCATTTGTTGGTTCACTCTACAGTTCCCACAGCAGCCAGCACTGGGCCAGGCCAAAGCCAGGAGCAGGAACTTCTGAGTCTCCCATGTGCACCCAGGGTCCAAAATTGGGTCTTCCTTCACTGCTTTCCCAGGCACATTAGCAAGGAACTGGATTGGAGATGGAGCATCTGGCTGGATCTTGAAAAGGCAATTGTAGGCAATTCCAGCGTTCCAGGCAGTGGCTCTACCTGCTATGCTACAAATAAGTTTTGTTTAAACACTAGTGGGTTTCTGTCTTTAAGATACTCAACAAGCCAATGCAAAAATCAAGAAAAATAGCTGAACATCATAGTAGAAGTTACTGCATGATCAGTACTCTAAGTTGGTATAAAGTGTTGTATTTCTTCCATCTTCCCAGACATCCACCTGTTAAGCTAGCTGCTCATGTGTTCTTCTACAGGTTCATTCATGGAGCCTTTACTGAACTCCCTAAGAGGAAGAAAAAGTGTGAAGACAAACAGCAACCCTGGGCTGCGCTGACAGAAATCCTCCAGCAGGTGGCTTAATCTTCCCATGGCTTTTGTTTATCTTATTTCTCATAAGACAGGACAGAAAAGGAGAATGTGAATTTACGAGGCCTTGAGTTCAGGGAGCCAGCAGCAGGATGAAGACGGTGCCTGGGTTTAAGCTTTCAGCTGATGACATCTGAATTCTGGCCAGATGCAGGGAGTCATCACGGGGTAAATGGAGAGTCAACGTCGTGGGGCAGGCAGGAACTGCGGGGCTCTGGTCCTGAGTGGTCACTCAGTCCCTGCGGATCCTGGCAGGACATGTGAAAGGGAGAAGCCTGTGAGCCAGGGGCCCGGTCCTTGGGGAATGAAGGGAGATGGCTCAGTGGAGGGGGCAGAAAAGGGGGGAGCGTGGACGGCCGGTGGAGGGAGATAACAAAGGGGAGAGAGTGTACGGCCTAGTTAAGGGGGCAGGGAGCACTGGGAGCAGGAACCGAGGAGAATGGGCGACAGGACACCCTCATACACTGGGAATCCATGGTCAGCAGGGCCGGTCAGCATGAGCGGGGTGCCCACCCTCAGCGGCCTGGAGCTTCAAGGAAGCGCTCTCCTTAGAGAATGAAGCCAGGGAAATGTGAAGCAGAGGAAAGTCATGTTTTAATAGCAAAGTACAACAAAACGGATGGATCTGGAAATCATTGGGCTAAGTGAAATAAGCCAGACCCAGATGGACAAATATAATGTTTTTTTCTTATTTATGGTAATATGGAAGGAGTATAAGGATTATGTGAATGTCATTGATTTGGGATATAGCTAGAGATCGTACCACAGAAATGACAATGCATCCTTCTTTTCCCAATCATAATCACCACCACAAATCCCTCACTCTGTGAGACTGACAGCTTTGATTTCAAAAGAAAAATAGTACACCTGTGTATGTATATATGTGTGTACATATATATGTATGTATATATACATTTGAAGTCAGCATGCAAAAAAATTGTCTTAACTGTAACATAAACAAACAAAAGTGGAGTTCTACCACTGAGCTCAGTTCGACACTTGCTGCCTGGAGTCGCCGCAGACTTCTCTGGCTAAGGCTCAGTCCCCGCACCACGCCTCCCACCTGGATTATCAGCTACACTTCTGCTTGGCTTGCCACACACTGGGCTTCCTGCAAACCCTTGGGGTTTGATGTTTGCTGACCTGGTTCACAGAACTCAGGGGAACGCTTTATTTACTGTTACTGAGTTACTGTTAAGGACTCCCATGAACAACCTCCTGCAAGGATCAGGGCCAGTGCCAGAAGGGTCCCCAGGGCATCTGGGATGCACCACATTTTTGACACATGACACGATCACCAATCCATGAGATTTCCAAATCTCCATGTCCAGGATTTTAATGGTGGTTCCATCATATGTCCATAACTCATCAAACGACTGATGGACATTAGCTCAGTCCCCTGACCCATCTCTCTTTCCTGGAGGCCAAAGATGAGGTTGAAAGGGGCAAGCTTCTAGTCACAAGATCGGCTCTTTAAACAACTAGGTCCCATCCTTCAGTAATCACCTCCTTTGCCCAAAGTCAGGTGTAGGGAAAGGGCTGAGTATGCATGACAAAAGACATGTCAAGGCACCACTCACTCAGGTTTTCTTTTCTTTTTAAGATTTTATTTATTTGTATTGTAAAGTCAGATATACAGAGAGAAGGAGAGACAAAGAGGAAGATCTTCCATCCGATGATTCATTCCCCAAGTGATCGCAACAGTCAGAGCTGAGCCAATCCAAAGCCAGGAGCCAGGAGCCTCTTCTAGGTCTCCCATACAGGTGCAGGGTCCCAAGGCTTTCGGCTGTCCTCCAATGCTTTCCCAGGCCATAAGCAGGGAGCTGAATGGGAAGCAGGGCAGCCAGGACACAAACTGGTACCCATATGGGATTCTGGTACATGCAGGGTAAGGACTTCAGCTGCTAGGCTATTGCACCAGGCCCTCATTCAGGTTTTAAACTCCGATTTTAGGTCTGTGCCAGGAATTGGGAATGAAAACCAAGTGTATCTTTGGTATCATAACTTCACAATAATTCCACAGCAAAGAGTATCAAGGCAAATTGAAGGAGGAGGTTTTTCCCAACACAGAGCAATGTTTTCCACAAGAATCTCAGACCTTTGGCACCAGCACAGTAGCTCAACAGGCTAATTCTCTACCTGCCAGCACTAGCATCCCAAATGTCCTGGCTGCTCCATTTCTGATACAGCTTCTTGCTTGTGGCCTGGGAAGTCAGTGGAGGATGGCTCAGTTCTTTGGGCCTCTGCACCTACATGGAAGACCCAAAAGAAGCTCTTGGATCCTGGCTTCAGGTCAGCTCAGCTGACAATTGCAGCCATTTCAAGAATGAACCAAGAGATGGAAGATCTCAATCTCTCCATCTCTCCTTCTATTTATAAATCTACCTCTCAAACAAAAATAAATAAATCTTAGAAAAATAAAAATAATCTCAGGCCCTTACAAGCTTCAAGTGGCAGCCTTTATCCAGAGTGTCCCCTAAGGACTCCCAAGATAGCGCCAGGACCAGCCTGTCTGGAGAGGAAGTGGAAGGAACAGCTGATGTGCCTGCATCACGAACAGGTGCCACAGTTCTGGGATGGCTGGATCCCAGAGTTCCACACGCTGGGGCTCAAAGAATCTCCATTCCATAAGCAGACTCTCACTTCCTCACTATCCTCACAGTGATAACCAAGTTTCCCAAACTCTCCTCTTTCTCATAAGCAAACAAACCACACCCTTCTCACCTGTCAAAGTCCATCCCCTCTCAGGCCATCTTAACTCAAAAGGAGTTTCCTTTTCCTGGACTGTCAGTGTTTCTAAGACGGGCGAGTGTCCTCCTCTCCTGCATGTCTGCTGTCACATGAGTGGGTGTATATAGTTGGCATGACTTAAAGGGCAATGATTTACTTGCTGAACGTTCCCCAGGGGTCTGGAGCCTGAGATTACAACGTGAAGTTGTAGAAGGAGAAGTCGAGGTATGCTACTCAGAGCTTTTGGGAAGAGGAGGACCAGGCGAGTGCCCAGGGTGAGTGTGAATGAGCAGAGGTTGAGGAAAGCAAGGTGGGGCGCTTCCTTCTTTGGGGGTATCTTTGGAGCTAGTGGGAAAGGAAGAACAAGGAGGTTCCCAGCATCACACAGTCTGTTCTTCTTGTTCACCCCGGAAGAGCTGCTGGTTGGGAGAGTGACTCACTGACAGAGCCACTGCTGGAATTGTATTTGACAATGGGTAAGCCACCACAGCTGGTGGGGAGGGAGACAGCAGTGCCAACCCCAAGCTCTTCCGGCTGCCAGCAATCAGATAAGACTGACAACTTGTGAGTTGATGATGACCTGACTTTTGTGGTCATGACACTGTAGCCTTTGAAACTCTGAACTGTAGCAATATTCATAAGAATCTCTCAAGAGCGAAATAAGATTGGATTTTCAATCACCTTCTTCTTCTTTTCACAAATGCAAGGAAGTCAGGGGTACATGCCAAACTGAGAAGATATTTCTGAAACTCAGGCAGAATTCAGGTGTGTGTGAGAGAGAGACACTCCAGCTGCCCTGCTGGAAGGCAGACATTGGCCAGAAGTTGAGAACAGAGTCCTGTCTTTTAGGTGCTCCAAGGCTGCCTTCTGCTGCCAAGAGCTTCTTATCCGGGGCTGTTCAGTGAAGCGGGACCTCAAGAAGACGCCAGGGAGGAACACAGGCCCTCAGACAGGAAGCTGAGTGCAGAGCAGAGGCCATGGTTCCTTTGAGGGAGGAGGACCAAGGGGAGGGCATCTGCCCCATCTGCCAGGAGCAGCTGAGGGAGCCCACGGGCACCGAATGTGGACACTTCTTTTGTCACACATGCCTGGTCCAGCATGCGGAGAAGGCCTCAGCCTCCAGGGTCCTCTGCTGCCCCCTCTGCCGGAATCCCCTCTGTTCCGAGAGGATTCTGGGGCCAGACTTGTTCTGTCCCAGCCACCAGAAGAGGATATGCAAGTTCTGCGAGAAGAACAGATGTCTTCTGTGTGTACAGTGCTTGGAGTCCCCAGAGCACAAGGCCCATTCAGAGCTCAGCCTTGAAAATGCCATCAGCCACTACCAGGTAAGACAGACTTGTCTCCCGCATTCCCCGTTCCTGCCCCTGACAGCCCCTGGAGGCTCAGTCACTGACACCTTACTCTGTTTCCTCTGCTCCCTCTTGCTTGGGACCTGGGCCTCTGCTTTGCTCCGTGTCTTTGGAATAGATAGGAGAGTCTCTAGGCATTGATGTGGCTCCATCTGAAAGTGGATGCGAGAGTCCTGGAGTGGATGCCATGAGCCTGGGAGCCACGATAGAAACACACCTGCTGGGTTCCTCTCAGCAGCCACATCGTGTTCGGTTCTCTGAATGTGCTGTAAATGGGCAGATCTCTGCTTATTTCCAGGTTATTGGGTTATTTTGATTTGTTGCCCTGAATATCCCTTCAATACGCAAGAGGACTTAAAAAGTTTGTGAAAGTTTGCACTGTATTGTAAATTTCACTTTTTAAAAAACTTTTTTGGAGTGTTTTGTATATTTTAGAGTATATAAAATATCTAAAAGATATTCTGGGGAAAGTGGGAAGCAGAGCTCTAATTCTACTTTGTCCACGTTATAGTCCATTTGTCCTTTTACCATTTATTGAATATTTCATATAATTCCATATAATTTGTACCATATTCTGTGATTTGAGTACCAACAACAATATGTAATTACATGTAGTTACTTGCATATTTTTCTGATTCTCTACTTTGTTCTGTTTATTCCTCCCTGTGTTTTATATCAAACATTATACCTTCAGAATATGCTTTTTTATTTTTAAAGGTTTATTTATTTTTTGTTGGAAAAGCAGATAAGATTTACAGAGAGAAAGAGAGACAAAAAGAAAGGTCTTTTATTCACTGGTTCACTACTCAAATGGCTGCAACTGCCAGAGCTGAGCTGCGCCAAAGCCAGGAATCAGGAGATTTTTCAAGGTTTCCCGCTTTGGTACAGGGACCCTTCACTGCTTTTTCAGGCCATAAGCAAGGAGCTATATGGTAAATGGAGCATCTGACACAAGAACTGGTGCCCATATGCGATCCCAGCACTTGCAAGGTGAGGATTTAGCCAATTGAGCCATTGTGCTGGGCCTTTGCAGTATGTTTTAATACCAGGCAGTTCTCACATCCTCCAAAACCCTTATTTTTCAGAACCTTGTGGATATCCACATTATTTATTTGGCCAATTATTGTTTTTATCAACACAATTCCCTTGGCCCAAGCAGTCTCCCCCCCCCCATGCTCACTTCAGTACGTTGAAGGCCAACACATACCCAGCCGGTGGCTCCTCCCATCAGTGTCTGACTCACGGTGCTGCTGCTGGGAAATGTCTTTTAATAACTTCCGGTAGTTTCTGAAGCCTTGCTTGCCCCATGCATTCTGCAACCTTTCTCCCACAGTACCTGGACCTGGATCTTCCCTATCAGGCATCATGCCCAGACTGACTGCTCCCTGCACGCCTCCAGTGACGAGTCTCTAATCAAGACACTCCTTCTAAGTGCCTACGAGAGTGAAAAACAAAACCAAAAAGTTATCACTACCACCACCAAAGTCTTAACCCCTCCCCCAGAGTTCTCTTTTAACCCAAGATAGAAGGCTTATTTAATGTAAGCCATGTCCTTCAGTTCAAAGCGTGCCAATGTCTATAGTTCACAATTCCCTCTCCTGTTTGTTTGGGTTTGTGTTGAATCACCGATTCTCCCTCTCCCACGAGCAACCACTTTAAGCATTTGTTGGCTCTTTGCTTGAAGATGATTTAGCAAACCACATGTTGCCGTGTAGATGGTCCTTGGTAGAAGCTGGTTCCACTCACTGACCGTGGTTTGTTTCAGGAGTTTGCAAGTCACACTCATTCAGTAAGGAAATTGTTTTGAGTTTTGATCTTTTCACCCAGCCTGTTCTGGGGTCCTCCTCCGGACCCCAACACACACCAGGGATACTTCCAGGGCCAGGATGGCTGTCAGACTTCGTCGTCGTGGTGATTGTCATATCATGGCTGTCACTAACTCTAATTACTACTGAGTTTGGGTACTTCTTCATACGTGCTGTGGGTTTTTGCACACCTGTCTTCTGTGAATTAATTGTTCACATTCTTTGTACAGTTTTCTTTTTTCTTTTTTAAAGATTTATTTATTGTTATTTAAAAGGTAGATTTGCAGAGAGAAGAGACACAGAAGGAAAGATCTTCCATCCTCTGGTCCACTTCCCAAGTGATCACAATGGCCAGAGCTGAGCTGATCTGAAGCCAGGAGCCATGAGCTTCATCCTGGTCTTCCACATAGGGGCCCAAGGTTTTGGGACATCTGCTGCTTTCCCAGGCCACAAGCGGGGAACTGGATGGGAAGTGGAACAGCTGAGACAAGAACTGGTGCCCATTTGGGGTGCTGATGCTTGAAGGTGGAGGATTAGTCTGTTGGCCCTGGTGCTGGGCCACGTATACTTTTCTGTTGAGATCTAGTCTTGCTGTGGTGTAGGGTTTACTTCCTCCGTTCTACATGTAAGTCTCTTACTGATTTTTGACATTCAGGTATTTCTCAATGTGCCATTGTTTCTATTAATTTTTCACGGTGCTGGCACTGCGCAGAAATATTTCATTTTGAATAGTGAGTTTCAGTAAGTCCCTCATGGTTTGGGCATGTCACAGATTTGCTCTTTAATACTATTTTCTATGAGCTTTACAATTTTTCCTTTGCTGCTTCATTCCTTAGCCTCTCTGGGAGCTGCTATCTCATGTGGCCCCAGGAGGGACTCTGGCTTTATTTCTCTGTTATTGTTGCTGTTTTCTCAAGACCATCTTCTACAGGCTGTGTTCCTACTGCCATGCATCTAGTTGCTAACTTTCCTTTTCTAATTCCCTTAGTGGACCTGAGTCCACCCTTGAGCTTCTTTTTCATTTTTCTTGCTATGGATTTGAATGCTCCTTTGTATCTGTTAGAGCAAGTACAGTTTGTCACTCACTAGACAAGGAAATGCCTCAGGAAGGCTTTCAGAATCTCTGTTTGGTCCCTCACTTGGATTGGTCACAGTTCTACGCTGAGAGCAGTACTAGCTATGTTCATTTCAGCTTCTCTCCTTGGTTATTTAAAACGGGAGGCAAGTTCTTCTCAAAACTCAAATCATTTATAGTATCTGTAACTTCAGGGACAGAAAGAGAGAGAGTGAGAGAGACATACACATGTCTGCCTGCCTGCATTACATGTTTGCATCCAATCAATGGCTGTTGCCAAATACCCCAGCGAGTGCCAAGGGAAGAGTGCTGTCAACAGCTTCCCATCTCCTTCTTATGGTGACTGTTCCCAGACCAGCCTCACTTGCTTCTGCAAAGTATCAAGAAGTGCAAGACGATTAGCACACAACTTGTGTATGTTGGGAAAAACACCCTAAACTCAAGTAGATCTAACTGCTTCTGATGCTATTTGTTATCACCGTGCAGTACTAAGACTGTTTCAAATATTGCCCATTGCTTTTCTCCATCATATCTAAACAAGCTCTCAGATTCCTTATACTAAGCATGGAGGTTCAAGGGCACTCGTTTTTAGGTAGAATGTATGTTAGCCTCACCCTATGCTAGGCCCTCCACGACATTCCAGTGAGTTCTGCCCATCAGGTACCACTCTCACTTCGGAAGCTCTGACAAGCAGATGTATCTGTCTCCTTAGGAGCGACTCAACCGCCGCAGCAGGAAGCTCAGAAAATATATCACAAAACTGGAGTGCAAAGCTCAGGAGGAGCAGAAACAGCAGACCAACCAGGTAGGTTCCTCAGATTCCTGGGACGGGCTTTTTTCTGGTTTCCTCAGAAGCTCTCACTTCCTGTTCTAGATGCTCACCTGTCCCTGGAGCAGCCAGACATGGGAGGAAGGTCCAGGAGGTTGAAAATCTTGGTGCTCAGCTTAGCTTTGGACTGTGTACAACATGCAACCTGGGGGTTGTTAAGACCTCTGATCATCACAGCTTACCTGTTAAATAAAAACAGATCTTGATTCCCCCAGCTTACATAGGGGATCAAAGGAAATGAGCATCACAGCAGCTGAAAATTATAAGTCATAGGACTCCATTTCTGTCTCTGCCCTAATTCCTTTTGCTACACAGATGTGGGATCTCTCCTCACCTGACAAACAGAACAGGATTAAAAGTAGGCAGTAAAGGATTCGGGTAGGGGTGTGTGTGTGTGTGTGTGTGTGTGTGTGTGTGTGTGTGTGTACGTGTATGTATTCCCACCATGGTATGACATGACCTGGGTAGTAAGGCATGCAGGGAAGGAGTTCCTACCTTTTTGAGAAGCACTTCTACCTCCATATCCCCCTGTGACACACAGAGGCAATACCATGAAACACAGGGGACTAAGGGACCAGATTCTAGGATATGAAGAGTCAAGAGGGAGTCATTTGACACCAAGTCCTAGCAAGGTGCTTTTTTGTAGTTTCAGGTAAACCCTGGGATCCAAAGACTGGAGGCTGAGCTAGAAAGCCAGTGCCAGGCCAATGAGCAGCTGGATGCCTTCACTGAGCAGGAGCTGGGCCAGCTGCAGGATACACCGGCTGAGGTGGCCAGACTCCCCATCCTCTCCCAAGCAATACTGCAGCTTAACAGCCTGGTCGCCATTATGGAAAGGACAGCCCAGGAGCTACAGGCCAGCACACTGAAGGTGCACATGCCAAGGCATCTCTCCAACAACAAACACTGGGTTCTCTCCGAAGGGTCTGTGGCCTACCTGCAGCACCCCTCTAGGAAACAGATGGAGAGGCTTGTGTGATGTGTGGTGGGAGTGGCTTGTCCAAGGCCATGGGATGCTACTGCAGCAAAGTGGGTTGTGGAAGAGGAGTGCTAGCTCCTCTGGTTCTCACGGTGGCACCTGAAAGTTGGGAAGGGAATTTGGATGTGACAAGAACCTGAGGACTTACAGAGATTCTCACTCTTTCTTTCTCTAGGATGCCAGTGACTTGTTGAACAGGTACGAGCTGTCCCCTCTTCCTTCCCACACAAAGCCACACAACCACATGTGTACTTGGGTTCCATCAAGGTCAAGGGGTTCCACTGCTCCATTAACCTTCCTGCCTTCATGCTACATGGCCAGGGAAGGATTCAACAGAATATGGGATTACACATAAATTAACACAGCATTTTTTTTGTTTCCAGGAGTGCTCCACACAAACTACAGGCTATTTACCATATGTTGAAGTCTGAAAAGAGTCAGGAAGACATTGCTTAGAACATTTTCGGAACTCTAACCAATTCGTCTCTGAGCAGCCTAACCCTACATCAGCCTCCTTTTTGCCAATCCTCCAACTTGTCCAGATCCCCCACTGAGTCTGTGTCGGACTCCTTCAGGCCTATTGTGACAGGGACATCCCCAAGGCTGTGCCCAGGCATGCAGATGGCACAGGCTCACCAGTGGGGGTGCCACCTCAGCACATGGATCCCAGCAGGTGCCCGACTCCAGTGGTGCCCGTCCTCTGGCACCAACATCCAACAGGCAGACACATACCAAGATTGCTATGTCAGGCCACTCGGGCCACCCTCACATTCCTCTCCTTTCAATGTTCTTGTCCTCTCGGGACCTGTCCCCTCCTAAATGTGAGTGGGATCTGTGACCAGCTTTTCATCCATAGGTTATAGCATAGAGGAGGGGTGCATCACTCTAGTGACTGCACCGCATGGTGGAGGACGCCCCCTCACTAGCAGATACATTGCAGAGATGCCCTTGCTGCTTGTAGAAGCAAGAAATCCCATGACAAAGACCTGCAGCCTCAAGGAACCAAGATTAGCCTGTACCCTCTAACCTTCAAGAAGGAAGCAGGGTGTTTGTCACAGCTGAAAAGCAAAAGAACAAAATGAATGGTGGCAGCAATCTGAGTGAGTTTGAACTGGTACTCTTCCCCACTTGAGCTTCCAGATGAGAACCCAGTGCAGCCAATACTTTGTCTGTGGTCTTGTATGATTCTAAGCAATTGATCCAGCTAAGCTGTGCCCAAATTAATGACTGACAAAAACTACAAGACAATAAATGTTTATTTTCAGACAGTTTGTGGTCAATTATTTGAGCAAGAGATACCTTTACAAATGTGTACTAATTCTTTGTGTTAATATCTTAGCTGTTGGGGTCAACAAGAGCAATACTTTGTGTTTCTAATGTCTAGGACAGTGCCTGGCTCATAGGTGGTGTCAAAATTTTAAATAGATGCACAGGTGAATTAACAGAATGTATAAGGACCCTTCTTGATTGTCTATGTTTAAAGGTATCATAAATTGCTTTTTTTAAAAAAAAAGATTTATTTATTTTATCAGAAATTCAGATAAACAGAGAGGAGAGACAGAGTGGAAGATCTTTGTCCATGGATTCACTCCCCAAGTGGCTGCTATGGCCAGAGCTGCACCGATCTGGAGCCCAGTCTCTTTTGGGTCTCCCCCGCAGGTGCAGGTTACAACAGCTTTGGGCTGTCCTCCACTGCTTTCCCAGGCCACAAGCAGGGAGCTGGATGCAAAGCGGGGCTGCTGGGATTAGAACCGGCGCCCATATGGGATCCCAGTGCATGCAAGGTGAGGACTTTAGCCACTAGGCTACTGCTCTGGGCTCCATAAGCTACTGTTTAAACTAGTATTTTATTTATTGAACCTTTGTTGATATAGTCAGTCAGTACTATACAAGGTGCCGAGGGACAAAAATAAAACACAGCCTCAAGGTGGTGCTGCATGGTGGTACACAGAGTGAAAACCCAGGAGTGAGATCTGTGTTCAGCACCTAATTCTGCACTTCATCCTTCTGGCACCTTGGACAAGTTGCTTAGCTTCAATTAAGCTTTCAATGAAGGGTGATGGTATTTGCAGCCTGGGATGAATCTATGAATTCCATATTAGCCATGATCAGTGTTTGCAGTGGTGCCCAACACACTGACAATGTTTAAATTTATTCCTTATGACTTTTTGGGGAAAAAAAAATCCACTTTGCCATCCAAAAGCTCATTTTCTCGCTATGGAACCAGGACAGACACAGCTAAGCCACCATAGCTGCTAAATGTTTTAGGAATTCAAAGAGAAATGTAAGCAAGGCTGGAACAATCAGGGGAGGTGTGGTGGGAAAAGTGGAGGACTGATGGGTGGGACAGAAAGGAGAGCATATCCAGGCCAGGATAACCACATGAATGAAAGCACAGAGGTAGGAGAAAGCCAGAGTGTGTTAGCAGAAGTGTGGCAAAAGTGACCTGGGTCATCAGGAATGTTCAGGAAAGGGGATGATCAGAAGCAGGCCAGTTGCATGACCCCAAGACACAAGGAGCCATCAAAGGTTTTTGAATCAGGAATGAAGGCAAACGTGCCAGTCAGGATCCCGTGTGCATTATGGACAGGGCAAGGCATTGAAGAGTACAGAGGGGAGAAAACCTCAAACAGGTGTTCAAGAAATGGGAGCAGATTGTCAAAAATATAATTTAAAAAAATGGAAAAAGTTAAAAGAGAAATGGGAGGAGTGACTTAGTAGAAATCTTCTGATCTCTAACAAGAAGACATTAGCCAAGGAAAAAAGGCAACTGCTAACACTTCCTGCAACCTACTCAGGTTAACGCTCACCGAGTGCTTATTGAGAAGTTTCCTACCATGTACAGAAGGGGACCAGTAAGCCCCAAGGGTCTCTCTCTGCTGAAAAGAAGTCAATTATCCCACTGGTGCCTGCCAGACCACAAGTGCTTGGACCACAAATGGGCAGACCAATGCCGGCCAACTGGGTCTATGGTGTGACCTGTTGGGAAAGATCTTCTCATAAAAAGACAGTAACAACAAACTGAAACTATCAGTTTTACTTGGAAATGAAGAAGGCACCTACGACCACTGTGTCATTAGTTGGCAGGTAGGGAAGTGGCAGAGAAAACCAGAGCTGCACACAGGGCCATGTCTAGCACCCAGTGTCTACATGTCTACATCTGTGCTGCTGCATGGCCACAGGATGGGCCTGTTTCTTGGCTGCCTGAGACCTCAAGCCCCTTGCCCCAGTCAGCTCCCGGGCAGAGGATATACTCTTACATAGTCATCATGAGCCTAGATGTGGGAACTGCCTGAATCCATGCTTGTTCTGATGAACACCATTGGCTGATTTGGGACCCACTCCTGGACCTCCCATGTGCCTCAGTTCTCATGTAAAATATGGGGATAGTAGTAACGGCACCTAGCTCATGGGGTTGTTATGCTGACTGAATGAGTTACTCTATAAAGTACTTAGCATGAAATTTGACCGAGTTGAGCTCCATGTGTGCATTGTTACCAGGATTTTCTAAATGCCTGCCTCTTAGGGAAACCAAGTCCCCTTACCTGATCCTGACACAGCTCGCCATGAGACTTGGCTAATGGTAGAAAATCACATTTTTCTTTGTGTGTGTGTGTGTTTTTTTAAAGATTTATTTATAATTATTTGATAGGTAGATTTTACAGAGTGAAAAGGAGAAATAGAGCAGGTCCTCTAGCCTTTCCCCATAACGGGATAGATGTGTCTCAAGTGGCATCATTTTTTTTTTTTTAATTTTTAGTTGGAAACTCAAAGTTACAGAGAGAAAAAGGGAAAGAGAGAGAAATAGAGATTTTTTTTTCCATCTGTTGACTCACTTCCCAAATTTCTTCAACAGTTAGAGCAGGGCTGATCTCAAGGTAAGGGCCAAGAGCTCCTTCCATTTCTCCCACATAGGGGCAGGAGCCCAAGAGCTTGGTCCATCCTCTCCTGCTTTCCCATCAAGGAGCTAGATCAGGAAGTAGAGCAACCAGGACTTGAATCGGCATCCATAATCCTCCACAGGGAGGGTTAGTCTAGCCTGTGAAGTTACCACATGAGCCTTTCAAGCAGCATCTTAAATTCTGGGCCAAATGCCTGCCTCTTACATTCTTTTTTTAAAACCCAGCTAAGATCAACAAAAATGAGCAGAAAAATGAAATCCAATTTTTAATGGAGTCCTAGGTTTGGGAGTCCAGGTTTTTGTTTTGTTTCAGTTTGATTTTGGTCATTATACAAACATTACACCAATATTTGGAAAACACAATACTTTTATGAAATATCGAATTCTCTCAGGGAAAGCAAAGTCACACCTCTCCAAACTCTGACTCCAGGTCACCACATGTTTTCACAACCTGGACCTAACGCTTGCACACTAGAACGCTCACTTCCACTAGGGCGCATCATGGCGGGAGGACGATAGACACGCAGTGGTTTATATGTCAGCTGAGCAATCAGGTGAATGGCTGGCTCAAGCAGAATAAAATTCCACCTGCGGGGAACATTTCCCACATTCTGGCTGATTTCTGGGGCTCTCCAGGATCTAGCACCTTCATACTCGGTGTGCTGCTCACAGCCTCCCCGGAGGCCTTTTCTCCCACAGAGCTCTCCACTGTGAATCCACTCATCATCTCCATGTCTCCAATCTTTCCTTCCTTTCACCACCCTCAGATGATGATTCTTACAACCCCAAAGCAGTGGCAATTCTTTGGGCTAAACGTTACAGGTCACCCAGAGAGTGTGCCGTTCCCCCTACCAGCAGCAGATACAGATGGTGCAGCACCCGCTCTCACAGCAGAGCTGTTGGGGCTAAGTCCCTTCTCCCATCTCCTCTCTTGACCCAACTGATAACTGACCAATCTGGGAGGCCATCTCCTTTAGGGGCTGAATGGTCGTGATTTACAGCCCAACCTCTCCTGTTACCCCGTACCTGCGGCTCAGCCAGAACTGACACTAGCAGGAAGAGGGAGCCCATGAAGGCTGTGGAGGTGGTGGTGCTCTGTGCCTGGCTGTGAGGACAGTGGAGATATCTGTGAGTCACAGACCAGTCAGCCAGGTCTCTGCTGCTTGCTGCCGGCAACGCTTTTTCCCTTCTCATTCACCACGTGTGTGCTTCAGACACACGTTCTCCAGACCCTGCCGGTGACTCACCCTCTCTCTCCAGCCACGCCTTGCCACCTATCAAGCCTCCCTAACAACCCCACCACCCACCAGCCTGTGCTCCAGTTTCCTCCTTGCAGCACCATCTCTTCCCACATGTACCTGTTAATAAAGGACACGTTAGTTTAGCTTGGGTTTGTTGTTGTTGTTGTCATTTGTTTGTTTTTTATCCTGTTTCCAAGTCATCAATGGCTGCCACAACACTTAGACCGTAATTTGGTACACAAAAATTCCTTGATGTATGAATGAACACATACTAACAATTCTGGGAGACAATAAGTTGAAGGGTGGTGAGGTGCTGGACTTCAAAATCATACAATTGACTGGTTGCAAGGATAGGTCTACACTCGGGATATTCTAGCTCTGAATCCAATCCTTTTTCCTCCACACAGCTCTGTTTGTGCCTATTGGGGGTGGTGTGACCAACAGCTGACAGCAGCCTGAGTCCCCAAGGACCCTACTCATCCCATCAGCTGGGCGTTGAGGAAAAGATCTGATGGACAGGCAGGGGATCATCTCACCTTGTGCTTTACAAATGGAGTCCAGCACATCAACTAAAGCAGCCATTTCTATTTCAAGTCTTCCAGGAGACCCAACCAGGGGTCAAGCCCACACAGTCCTTGATTTGAATCCTGTACTTAGAGGAGGCCAACAATTCCCACTCAGGAGATCAAGGAAAAGCTGGACCCTCGGCCCCAGAGCCCAAAAAAGGGAAAGACCTTCCGTGCAAAGGAAGCTGTGAAGGTGTAGATGTGTTCCTGGGTGACAGCATTGGCAAAGGTCACCCAGCCCACCTCATAGTCAAGTGACACCCGCACCTGCTGGGGCTGCTCCTCCAGGGCCAGGCGAGTAGGGAAAGAGCCAAGAGCCGAGACGAAGCCCCAGGCCAGCCTCACCGCCCACACCCCCTCCTCTGGCCGCAGCCGAAGCTCTCCCTTCCTCTGCACGTCCTCGCTGACCACGCCCACAGTGCAGCTGCCCCCGTGAGCCAAGTCCACACTCACCACCCATGTGTGCCTCCCCCCCGTGAAACCCTCGTAGGCCAGCACACAGGTGGCCCGGTCAAAACGCTGGAGGTTGTCCGGAGAGCTCTGCCACTTGTAGGAGAACCTGGCCCGCTGGTGATCCTCGGATAGGAGGAGCTTGGGGTGGGACGTCAGGGGATCTAGAGAGAGGTGAGCTGTAAGAAGTCAAAAAAGACATGAGTGTCAGCAGACAAGCCATGATGGTTGAGGCAGGCCTGGAAGATCCCCAGCCAGCAGCACCTTTGCCAGCCAGCAGCATTGGCATCACCAGGGAGCCACAAGTTGGAAATGCAGTCTCAGAATTTGGACCTTGACAGGATACCCTAGGGACTCCATGCACATTTAAGCCAAAGAGAAGCCAGGCTGTGAGGGCTGATGGCTCTCATCCAGTGCTGGGCAGGTGCCTGACAAGTTGTTCTGCTCCCTGCAAGCTAGCTGGATCCCAAGGTTGTGCATAACAGTTTTGTTGACTCCCTGCAGCAGTTTTGCCCATGCCCCCACCCCTTGGCTCTCGCTGGGTTGAGGGGGAAGCATGTCTCTCCTCCACCCAGACATTCTGAGTCCTCCCAGCTTTCCTTCCAGGGCATCTGTGACTCGGGGGCAGTCTTGCTCTAGGCAGGCTTTCTGGCTTCTCAATAGTTATCCACTGTTACTCAGAGTCTAAAGTCCATTTTAAACACCCAAGGCTTCCACAGACCCCAGCAGAGTGTGATTTTCCCTGTCAGTAAAGAAGGGAACCCCATAAAATCTGATGGACCCACGGTTAGAGAGGCCCTTCCACAGCCGCGCATTCCCCAGACTTGGAGCAGTGGCACTGATTCCCCTGTTTGCTCCTTTCCTGTTCCCAGACTGCTCTCCTAACTGCCATCTACAAAGAGACATCTGGAAAGGATCAGGGCTCCTGACAGTCCCAGAAAGTGATTGCAAATCCAGTCCAACTTGTCTTTATCCAGTCACCCGTCCCAGATGCACCTCTTCTGTTCTGATTTACTCTTTCCACCTGCACTGTGCATTCACAGTGTAACTGTCTTTTCTTTGTAGTTCCCCGGACAGACTGACCAATGCCATGACACAAACGTCCAGACTCCCCAGACTGATGGAAGCTCAGAGCTCAGACCCCACACAATCCTCCCACATACTTCACATCATCGCTAGATTACCTATAATGTAGAATATGATGTCAGTATTATAGAAACCAATGCTATAATGTATCGTTTGGTGAATAAATGACAAGAAGGAACCTACACATGTTCAGTACAGACACAACTTTTTCTTGAACGTTCCCATGGATGTGGAACCCAGGCATGGATACAGAGGGCCAGCTGTACACACACACACACACACACACACACACACACAGATCTTTGTATGGTGTATATATGTACAATAGGTGTGTATATGCACATGTTGTATATATTTGGCCATTCTAGTGCCCAGTGCAGAACCCTGTCAACTCTAAGCTCTCCTTTTCAGAGACTCCTCACTGCTTACCTGGTTCATAGTCCAACTCAAAGCAGAGTTTTTCTGGAAAGAGGAAACAAAATAGAATGAGATTTCATCCATTTCATAAAACCAGAGACCACTGGGAGATGAAGACACTGAGACCTACAAGATGACCAGCAGCATAATGGAAACTGAATCCTCTATACCTGAACTTGAAGGAGAGCCACCTGAGCACTTGTCTGTTTCAGATCCAGGTGTTCTGGGATGAGCCTGCAAAATTATATTTCCACCAGTCTTTCTGGGGAGGTGGTTGCTGCTGCTGATGAGGGTCCCACTTAGAGACTCACAGCCAAACTCTGAGCACAGAGACCATGTTTTCCTTGCTCCCTTCTGTGTCCACACAGCCCAGCACACAGTAAACTATCTAAAAACATCTGCATGGTGAATAGGTGAGAGAGGAGAAACAGAGAGACAGAGACAGAGACACAGAGAGAGAGCCTTCTATTCCCTCGTTCATTCTCCAAATGCCTGCCACAGCCACAGTTGGCTCAGGCTGAAGTCAGAACCAGGAATTCAGTCCAGGTCTCCCACATGGGTGACAGGAATGCCAACACTTGAGTCATCACCTGCTGTCTCCCAGGAGGTTATGTCAGAGTAGAGCAAGGACTCAACCCTGGACACTCCAAGATGGATTACAGGTGCCCCAAGCACTGTGTTGCCACCACCAAACACCTGCCCAGGTTAGATATGATTTCTTTCACTCTCAAGTCCCTGGAAGTATTTACAGGAAGGAGACTCATAGGAAAGTTCTCCCACAGCATCACACTTCAACAGGAAGAGCATTTAGATATAGGTGGTGTTATTCATCATGCCACCACAAGGGTGGAGGGGGTGGCCAGATGGAGAGTCATGTTCATACTTGAGTCTGATTTCACAGTCTGGTCCTTTCCTAGCAACATTCCCTGTTCTGGGAAAAGGAGGGGTCACAGTCCCAACCAAAGCATTTCAATGCTGAGAGCCAGAGTAACAGAAGGAAAGTGAGAACAGCCCACCATTGCAGGACATTGATAGATGCTTTCAAGAGCTGACATAATCTGGCTAATCTTCCAACTTCAAGTGCCAACATTCCATATGGCACAGGTTTGAGTCCTTGCTGCTCCACTTCTCATCCAGTTCCCTGTTTAAAGCCTGGGAAACCAGCAGAGAGTGGCTCAAGTCCTTGGGCCCCTGTATCCATGTGGGAAGCTTGGGAAAAGCTCCTGGTTCATGGCCTTAGATCGGCTCAGCTCTGGCCATCGTAGTCAGTGGATGAAGATCTTTCTCTATCTCTCCTTCTCTCTGTAAATCTGCCTTCCCAATAAAAATAAATCTTTTAAAAATACATAAAGGTAAATGCTTTCACTTGCTACACAGAAACAATGTTCATCATTGAAAAATTACTGCATATGTTGCTGTGGAGGTTTTTCAGTTACTGAAAATGACAGACACTGTTAATCATTATCTTTCTTTTTGCTTCATGCCAACTCATCAGATATATTTAAGTACTTCTCAAATGACTCGCATTTTTTCCCCAGACGTGTTCCCCATAATCATCTCCAGTCATTGTCACATCACCTGACAGATTTCTTAAGGATCTGCAAGTCACACAGCCTTTCATCAGTGAAGAATGGCTGCATCGTGCCCACCCGTGCTCTGTGGAGGCCTGTAGTCCTCTTACCCAGAAACATCTTCATCTCTCTCTGCAGTGGGACAGCCTGCTGGGGGAAGTCCCGGATCCTTTGTCCCAGCTCAGGGGACACAGCCTCTGGTTTCCGGCACTTTCTGGTTTCACATCTAGGGCACAGAAATGGCTATGTCTGGGAAGATTCTTCATGCTTCCATACTCAACTGGTCATCTCCTCCAAGAAACACAGGAAGGTGCTGTTCCTGAAACCAGACACAGCTCCCCCCCAATGGATGCCACTGCCCACTTACAGGCAATGTCACTCAAGAAAGTGCATCTACAGCCATGTGCAAGAGCACACGGGGATATGTGGAAGTTGATGTGTACATCAACTCCTTAACAAGAGGGTGCTGTGTATCTGTACGACAGACACTAAGTGTTGGTGCATGTATATGTATTTTTAAGAGTAAAGAAAAATAGAGAAGTTACATTGCTTACCTTATTAGCGTGCTTCTGATATCCTAAAAGACAGAGAGAGCGCAGAGATTTAGTTTTTAGTGTATCCTGGCTTTTCACATGATCAGAGAAGACAAAACACCTTGAGCCCACTAGTAAGGTAACCAAGCATTGGAACTCACAGCCTGATCCCTTTATTCCACAGACTCAGGTGGTAAAGTGACCTGCACCTGCTGGTCAGTGGCAATTGTAAACCCCTGCACAAGGTCTGAGGGATTCAGTCCAGAATGCACCACCTGAATAATGTTGCCTTTCTGATGCTATGTTGGGACCCCAATATCTTTCATCCAGTTTGAGTCCATGAAATAGACCAGGGAGAACTTTAGATTGGCAAAAGGTGACAGGTGATAAGGGGTTGGATGTATTGGAAATGGCACCAGACATATTTAACATAGTCTTTATATTTTCATTCTGCCATTGGATCCTTGCAAAGATCCCATGAGATAATGAAATAAAACATCCTACCTACCTAATGGATTTTGGTGGGACGAGACTAAGACCAGGGAACGTGGCGACCAGGGAACTTGGGGAAGCATGAGCTGGTGTTCAGACCTTACCTCCCACCTAGGCCAGGGAGGTGAGAGAGGAAGGAGACACAGCTGAGGAGGATATGGAATGGCAGTGCCAGGCTAACCTTCAGGAGCTCCTTGGCTGGCCTCGCGTTCTTCTCCTCCAGTTCTTCTATCAGAGCGCTGAACCGGCAGATCTCCCCGGTGACCAGGAAATCAAACTCATCCTGCTGCTTCAAGATGTCTCCATCCAGCTTCTCCAGCTGTGCCAGGAGGACACTCTGCTGCTCCTCCAGGAACTGGCGCAGATACGCAAACTCAGAAACCACCTGCTGCCTCTTGGTGGCCACCTGTGTCTGGGGAGGAAGTAGAGGACTCCAAGGAGAGGTTCCCTCCTCCTCTGCCTTTCCTTTTTTCTTTTTTTTTCTTCCTTTCCTTTTCTTTACCTCACTCCTACCTCTCTCTTGACCCAGGTGCACATTCTCCAAGATATGGTCATGAACTCAGAATCCCCCAGTCCCATTGTCTCAATCCCCACTCCCACATCAGACTTGGAACTATGGCATGGCGTCTGTCCCACCTGCCAGCCACCTGCCACCCCATTTCTAGGAGCAGCACTGCCCTGCACTGCCTCAGCACTGGTTGCTGAAGCTTCTAAAGGGAGGAAGGCTCAGAGCAGATTCTTGGAAGGTTGAGAGGGACCATCCTGCCTGTTTGGAAGCACACCTTGGATGCATAGCACTAAGCTATATTGCACGTTCATGTAATCCTTACATCAACTCCATGAGGGAGGGGTGGCTTTTACTCTCTGTTTTATAGATAAGCAACCTGAGTGCCTGAGGTCATGCAGTTCGTGCCAGAGTCAGGTCACATTCAGAGAGCACTTTAACTGCCCTAGCTGGCCTGGGTTTCAGGGGAGGCTGGAGCCTGGGGAGGGGCAGAACCGGGGACAGGAAGCACCCAGGGCAGAACGGCAGTGTGGGGTCTGGGGGAGGGATGGTGATTTACCAGCAGGACTTGGATCCTCTTATTCTCTCTCGACTGGACTTCCTGGATTTCTTCTCTCTCTCTTCTTAAACACTTCAGACATTTCTGTATTTGTTCCTGGGGAGCAGGAGCATAAACTACTTAGATGGAGAAAACTATTTTAGGGTATCAGCATTTCCAACTCTGCCTTCTAGGAGTGGAGGGAGCCCAGGGGAGGAACCTGTCTCAGCTCTGACGGTGCCGAGTCTTCATCACCCTGACAGCTTACTGCCCTGTTCCTCTTGCTTTGTGCCCCAAGCATTTGCATCAGGGCACTCCCGCGATCGTGTGTTCCTCAGGGACCATGACTTGGCTCTCCCTTGGAGCCGACTCATAGGGTCAGCCACTAACTCCCTTTGTTTCTGGCAAACGCTATCTGAGATGTGTCCTGATTTCATATGCTTAGAATTATTTCAAGCTCCTGACATTTTCCAAAGAGTACATGTAAACTCCCCACAGCAACAAGAATTAATTATCTGTATATAATTACAAAAGAAACGTGGCTATGCCAAAATAGTTAACAAGTTGTTTTAACTATTGTTTGTTGAGGAAGAGAGCTAGAAACATTCAAAAATGCACATAGAAGTCTCCCCATCGAATGCTGATTAAGATGTCCACCAAACACAGCCACCCACTTGTAATAAAACAGAAACAATTAAAGGCAGCACTCACTTATATGGTGACATATAAAACTTCATTATCTATTTACCTAATGTGTGTTGTGGGCTTTTTTTTTTTCTTGACAGAGAAGTTTTGTTTGTGCAGTGAAAGAGTGAACATGACAAGAAGGAAATGGAAAGCACCTCCCAGGAAAGATTCGGGAGATGGTGTGTTTACTGAAAGGAAAGAGAGAGAGAGAGAGAGAGACTCCTAATTTGCATATTCACAAACCCAAGCATTCAAATTAGTTGTGCATGCAAATGCATCTATCCTCAGACCCTCACTCAAGCAAAGTCCACATTTGTAAGCACGACAGTTTGCACAATCACTTCTCCAAATATAAAGTTCAGTCACACCTGCTAGCCTGAACACTCACACATGGTGGTCCCTCTTTATTCAATAAGTATTTATTGGATTGTTATTATCTGCTGGCCACAAGTCAACTGAATGCGCGCACACACACACACACACACACACACACACACGCAGAGAGACAGACAAAAACCTGTGCTTTTCCATGCCTAGGTCTATGGCTTGGGTGACCATATAAGAATTCACCTTCAGTGTAGCCCAAATTATTCGCACCTGTGTTCAGTTTTCTCCATGCACTCTGACCCCAGGCCCACCCAGAGATACCCCGGGGCCCCTCACCTACCCTGTAGGGGCCTGCCGCATCCTCCAGAAAGCGCACAGTGTGGTTCCTGTGCTCCGCCGCTGCATGACACACCACGCACAGCTGTGCCTCGTCATCCTCACAGAAGAAATAGATCTTCTCCCCGTGCTCCTGGCACGCGTGCTCCTCCTCCGTGCCCTGCGCAGACACTAGCTTGAGGCGCTCGATGTTTTCTACCACACTGGCCAGCTGCCAGTTGGGCCGGAAGCTCCCCGGTCGGAAAGGTTCTTTGCAGAGCGGGCAGGAGAGGGAGTCCTCAGACTCTAGGCCCAGAGTCTCACAGTAGCGAGTGAGGCAGCTGCGGCAGAAGTTGTGGCCACAGTCGATGGTGACCGGCTCCCTCAGGGTGCCCTGGCAGATGGGGCAGTTGACCTCATCAGCCAAGGTAGTGACGGAGGCGGCAGAGGCCATGGTGGTGCTGCTGGGCCTGCAGCTTCCTCAAGGTCAGTCTTTCTGCTTAGAAGAAGCAGGGGGAGCTTGAGAGCTGTGGAGACACACAGCACACACACGCTCACAGGTGCACACAGCTCAGATGCAGCACATCTTGACAGTGTGACACCTGCATCCTCTCTTTCTCTTACATAGATACACACACACACACAGAGAGAGAGAGAGCGAGAGAGAGAGAGAGAGAGAGAGAGAGAGAGGCCGCCAAGGCTGCTATTGTTCAATTCTCCCAAAGGAAAGGACACACACCTGCCAGGTGGAGGAGTGGGATGAGGAGGGGCTCACAGCATCCCTGACCCGACTTCAGCCACGCTCTGGATCAATGCTCATGACTTGGGTTTGCCATTCCTTTCTGTCCACTCACAAACTCTCTCAGTAGAAGCAAAGTAGAAGCATCTCTGCTGTCCACCATGGAAAGAGGTGGTGAGGAGATGTGGGAGAGAGACTGAGCTACAGAGTCTGACTGTACTGCAGCCTCCCTGCCACATGGCCAGCTGTCTACAGGGAGATTTGTGGTATCAGCCAGCCCAGGGCTTGCCAGTCAGTAAGAAGAGAATATGGGGGCTCAGATAAGGTCCTTGTGCCTGGGTGTACCCAGCACAGTCTACGCTGGTGGGCTGCTATGGGCTTGGAAAGAGGCTGGGTGCAAGAGAAGAAACCAGTAATAGTTGGCATGTATTTCTAATGACCACACATCCTATTCTAATAACAGCAGTGTCCACAGCTGCAGTTATTTATTGCTCCGATCTGCTTTATAGCATGTGTTATTCCAACTTCCTGAGGCTCAATCAGGTTATTTAGTTTTTCAAAAATACATGAACAGGAAGGTAGGGGGCCAAAGTTTGCAATCACATCTATAAGGAGACTTTGTGGGAAATCTGAATTAAAAGATGAGTTTATATTAATACAACATAATTTTGAAATCCAGACATCATTTTTGTAATACATATTTTTTTCTTAAATATCTATTTTCATTGAAAAGGCAGACTCACAGAGAGGAAAGAGAAAGATCTTCTTTCCACTGGTTCACTCCCCAAATGGTCGCAATAGCCAGAGCTGAGCCAATCCACAACCAGGAGCCAGGAGCTTCTTTGTGGTTTCCCACTTCAGTTCAGGGGCCCAAGGCACTGGGCCATCCTCGGCTGCTTGCTTTCCCAGGCCATAAGCAGGGAGCTAGATGGGAAGTGGAGCAACCAAGAGGCAAATTGCTGCCCATATGCGATGCTGGCTCTTGGAGGTGAAAGATTAGCCAATTGAGCAATTGCCCTGGCCCCTGCAATATATATTTTTCATGAACTTTATGAAGATTCCTTATATGCATGGGGAATTTAAAATGTTTTGAATCAAAGTATGCTTTTGGATAAATGTTTACTTATTTTCAGTTACTTGAAAGGCAGAACAAAAGCAAAGTGAGAGAGAGAGAATCTTCCATTCACTGATCCATTCCCAAATACCTACAACAGTCAGGGCTGGGCAAGGCTGAAGTCAGGAACTAGGGACATCATCCAGCGTTCCCAGGTGGGTGGGATGGACACTACACTTGGTCATCCTCTGTTGCCTCCCAAGATGCATTAGCAGGAAGCTGCGTTAGGAGTAGATGAGCTGTGACTCAAATCAGGCAGTCTGATACAGGATGTCTCAAGTGGCAGCTTAACCTTCCGTGCTGCAACACTAACCCTTGGTCCACTGAACTTTGTGTACTCTTCTATGTATCTCACAAGCGATACTACCTGATAGGAACACAGTATGAGCCACATATAGATTCAGAATTTCCCAACAGCCTAGCGAAATGCATGAACAGCTGAGCACACTGGCTCTCTTGGGGAAAGGAAGCTCAGTGGGCTTCCAGGACAACCCAATGCTGGAAGCCAGGTTTTTGACATGCAGGGGTGCCTGTAGCCAGGCAGCCAGGCACCAAAGCTGCGGGGTGAAGCCCCTCATGCTGCCTGGGGGTGTGCCCTCATGGTTAGAGGGTCCTGATTTATAGAGGAATGATGGAATTGCACAGGTAGCAGTGGGAGATGACCTTTGGTTTTTATGCCCAGGTTAGGAATTACAGCTGAGAGACTTCTATAAACAAGTACATGACATGTATATGTATGTATGTATATAAGGGACCCACACCAAAGTGGTTTGTGAGGTGCGGGGGAGAACAAGAGAGGAGTGAGGAAGGTCTGTTAGCAGAATCTGTGGAGGCAATGTAGGCTCACCCCTGTGGAACTACAATTTCTGCTGGATACTCCTAGAACTGCAGATGGGGTCAGGCCTTGCTGGGGAGCTAAGGGGGCACCCCAGTTGGGCTGGAATTTCCAATGGCGAGAACAAGAATAGGATTGAATGCAGCAGATGAGACTATACATAGCTACAGACAGCACCAGCACAGGTGTGCACTGGGACAGTGAAGCATCAGATTGGGCTTAACTCCAGCCACCACTAGTACTCATGAGAGCCAATTTGGCTATAGAACAGGCCAGACTAGGTCTTGACTCCCTCTAATCTATGTGAAAGCTACAACCAACAAGAACCAGAATGGGTGTGGCCAGCTGAGAAAGGCCACATTCTCACCAGGACAGCAGGTAGACAAATTAACCTGTGTCAACCATCCACTGGTGTGCACAAGAACTGCCATTAGGAGGAGACTCGATGGAGGAGCTTGAGAAACTCCTTCATCAGGATCCAGACCCTGCAGGAGAGCATAAGAAGCAAGGCAAGGAGCAGCCCAGACCATGTCAGATTATGGTACCCACCAGCATACATCTGAGTCAGGTCTGGGGACAGACTAGTCTGGACCAGCACACAACACTCACTGGCAGATCTGAGAAACAGGGCAGGAGGAGCCAGATCAGGCCAAAACACCAGCCAGTTCACATTAGGACCGGGACAGCAATCAGGCCAGGCTGGGATAGGCTGAAGAACCCACCAACAGGAGCTGTAACAAGGGGCAGACTAGATTAGGACAGGTGGCACAATAAGACTGCAGAAGATCAGGTGAGGCGAGTCATACCAGCCTGGGCCAAGCGGGGGCCAGATATGTGAATCCTAGAGACAGGGGATCTGACAGGGCTTGGGTAAATTAGCTCAGGCCATGTGGCCCACATATGTGATAGGGGATGGGTTCCTGAGCCCCGGGGGACAGAGGAACTGGTGGGGTGTGGGTGGCTTGGCCCAGATCCTGATGACCTCCTGCTAGGTGGTTTCGTGAACCCTGGGATGGGGAATCTGGCGGGCTTGGGTCTCCTGGCCCAGGTCCCAGGGTCAGCATACTAGGTGGGTGTCGGATTCGTGAAGCCCAGGGGTGGGGGATCCGGTGGGGCTTGGGTCTCCTGACCCAGGTCTCAGGGTCCTCCTATTCGGTGGGTGCTGGGTTCGTGAACCCCAGGGGTTGGGGATTCAGCGATGCTTGGGACATCTGGCCCAGCTTCTTGGACTTGCCTGTAAGTACTTGCCATACTTAATAAAAAAGGTGGAGCAGTGAACACAGGTCCTGTTGTAAAAGGAGAATAAGGCAGCACATTTGGTGCTATAGCAGAACAGAACTAACTGGACAGCAACACCAAACAAACAATGACAGCAAAAATTTCGGTGAATGGAGCCAATGAACATTGGGAGGGTGACATCATCCTTGGATCAGTGAAATCAGCATTTCAGAACTATCCAAACCACCTTGACAGAACCCTTGGAATATGTACACATTGAGACTCTGGGTTGATATGAGGTGGCGGTTCCTCATCCCCGGATACTGGGATGTGCAGAAAGTTATGCATGGCTTTCCCCTTTGTTTCTCCCCTAACCCTGTGAACAACAAGAAGAAACAGCAAATTTGGAAGCAATGACCTCACCCAATTTTCTCTAAACCTTGACCCTTCCCACCCTGATCAACCATGTAATCATTATTTTTAAAAATGATAAATAGGGCCCTGTGTCATGGCCTAGCAGCTAAAGTGCTCACCTTGAACACATAAGGATCCCATATGCACGCCAGTTCTAATCCCGGCAACTCCGATTCCCATCCAGCTCCCTGCTTGTGGCCTGGGAAAGCAGTCAAGGACGGCCCAAAGCCTTGGGATCCTGCACCTGTGTGGGAGACCTGGAAGAAGTTCCTGGCTCCTGGCTTCAGATAGGTGCAATATCGGCCATTGCCGCCACTTGGGGAGTGAATCATCAGACGGAAGATCTTCCTCTCTGTCTCTCCTCCTCTCTGTATATCCGACTTTGTAATAAAAATAAATAAATATTTTTTAAAAAATGATAAATAATTTTTTTAATTCCCAACAGCCACATAAGATAGATAACTAAGAGGTGGAAATAAGTTTAACGATGTCTTTTACTGAATGCGTTATTGCCCAAACATGATCATTTCAACATATCATCTGTGCCACAAGTTGCTGACATGATTCACATTTCTTCTTTGTACTAAGGCTCTGGAATCTGGCATGCATCAATCTGCATGAGTCGCATTTCACTGCTCAGTGGCCACATGTGGCTGCTGGACCCTGTAGCTCAGGACAGCACTCTAAGGCAGGGAGTGCAAGGTAGCATGGAGAGGGAAAGTGCCACAGGAGAGCAGGGTAATGGATGTGAAAAGGAAGCAGTTTCAGGATGCCACCTAGGCCAGTGGCTGGGAGAAGGGGATGCCTTGGATGCAGGTGAGTGGTGGAAGAGCCAAGGTCCTGGCTTGCAGGATGGAAAGAGCATGGGGCTTGGAGCTGAGACCCTCACTATCCCCAGCCTCACAGCTGTCATACTTTCAGAACCCTCAGTAAATCTTCTGGCCTCTCCACCTGCATTTCTTCCTCTGTGAAATGAAAGCAATGACACCTTCTACAGAGAACGTCATCAAAGCAGATGTTTTCATTAGAATCACTTCAGCACCAGGATCCCATATGGGTGCCAGTTTGAATCCCAGCTGCTCCACTTCCAAGCCATCTCTCTGCTTGTGGCCTGCAAGAGCAGTGGAGGATGGCTTCAGATCAGCTCAACTCTAGCTGTTATGCCATTTGGGGAATGAACCACCAGACAAAAGATCTCTCTCTCTCTCTCTCTCTCTCTCTCTCGCTCTCGCTCTCGCTCTCGCTCTCGCTCTTGCTCTCACTCTCTTACAGAAATGTGTAGAACAAAGGGCATGACATGCCACCCCAGCACCCATGCAGTGAGGCTGCAGATTGCCTAGGGAAGAGGGTCTGAAGATGTATTGAAGTAGGAGCGGCTGAGGGCATGTCTGACAGGGGAGGAATAACTTCTGGGGTCTTCCATGGACCAGACCACCACACTTGCAGGTAGGTGAGGGAGCTGAGATGGAGTAGTTTAGAGTAGGAAAATCAGAAGGCATGTCTAGGTCAGGCCAAGGCACATGCTCACATGGGAAACCTGGGCTAAGCTAAATAGCATTGCCTGCCACCTGCTGGTATTTGCAAAAACTCAGGCTCAGTGACATGCCTGACTGGGCTAGGCTGAAGTACCCACCCAGGGGGATCAGAGCAAGTAGTGGCCATGTCGGGCTAGGTTGCAGCACCTACCAGCACACCTGAGATCCATTGCTTGGGGCTGCCTGGTAGGGGAATCCCACTGCTGGACTGCAATTCCTTCTGGTGAGTGTGAGAGCGAAGATGGGGTGTAAGCCAGGCCTGGTTTGATTGCAACACCCATCAGTTCATATGAGGGTTAGTGCTGAGGGGTTAGCTAAGCTGGGTTAGGGTCCAGAGCCCACCACCAAGATCTTGGACTATCGGCAGGTTGGGCTGAGCCAGGTTGTAGCACCTGCTGCCATCTTCAAACTGGGCTGCATAATCCTCTGGCACACGCAAGACCCAGGAATGGAGCAAGCCTTGTAGGAGAACTTCAGAGATTCCCCTGTTGGGCCACTGTTTCCATTGTACTGGTGAATGTGAGAGCTGACACTGGGGTGGGCTAGGTTAGGCTAAGGTGCAACCAGCTGGCAAGTGCCAAGACTAGGTGTGGGCAATGTCAGGATGGACCACAGTACCCATTGGCAGGCAAAAGATCAATGACTGGGAGCCTGGTGTGGTGGCTTAGCAGCTAAAATCATAGCCTTGAAAGCACCAGGATCCCATATGGACACCAGTTCTAATCCTGGCAGCCCCACTTCCCATCCAGTTCCCTGCTTGTAGCCTAGGAAAGCAGACAAGGACAGTCCAAAGCCTTGGCACCCTGCACCAGTACTGGAGACCCGGAAAGAAGTTCCTGGCTCCTGGTTTCGGATTGGCGCAGCTCCGGCCATTGCGGTCACTTGAAGAGTGAATCATCAGTCGGAAGACCTTCCTCTCTGTCTCTGCTCCTCTCTGTATATCTGTCTTTCCAATAAAAATAAATAAACATTTTCTAAAAAGACAAGTTTACTTTAAAAATAAATGAATAAATAAATGAAATCTAATTTTAAAAAGAAATTTTTTTGTTATTATTTTTATTTTGACTTTTTGAATTTTGTGGTACAATTTTGTATAGACAGGGATTCCTCCCCAAACTCCCACCCCGATAGAGTTTCCCCATTTTGCTACAATAGCATAGTCCTTCATAAGGAGTCATAATTCCATCAGTCGCTTATTTAAGTGTTAAAAAAAAAAAAAAGGAAATTCTAAACCTTACGTAATTGCGGTTGATTCTACTTCCCTGCCTTTTGTTGAATCGAATTTCCCCAACTGTTATCAATGCAAATCGCTGAGGTTATGGGTTCTTGCCTCTCCCATCTACAGTGGAAAAACGAAAGTAAAATGGAAGTCCAGGATTACACAAAGTCCAGTAAGGACAGGGTGCCCATGGGGAAGCAGGGGGACAGGAAAGGGCAGCGCTGGCGGTGCAGGCGAGGTGCGGGCAGAGACGGGGTGGGAGCCGTGCTCACAGCCCCCTGGGGACCAGTCCACAGTCACCGGAAGTCAGCCAACTCCGCCTCAGCCTGGACTTTGATGCCTAGGCACACCTCAGAGCCAGAAGTTTATGGCTCCCACCTGCCCTGACTGACAGGAAGCGACTCCACCCTGATTCTTTCCACCCCACCGTGGTCAGGGAATCCAGGAAACCCCTTCTCGCCGTCATCTCACAGTGCACCGTGTTCCCCACCCTGAGACCAGCAGCAGACAGGAGAGGAGAATGGCTCGCTCGGCCATCGCCGCTGGAAAACGCTTGGTAACTGCCGGTGCCCTGGAGTTTGGACCCGCTCAGCTGACCCGGGTGGTGGTGGCCGAGGGTTCTGGGGAGCCCGAGAGGCGGGGCAGGTGGCTCTGCTGGGCCGACGACGTGCCTGCCGTCCTGGCTCTGGACCGCAGGGTCCGGTCCCACCGTGACTCACTCATCAGTGACTCCATTTCGAGGAAAGGGCCTCCTCACCAGGCAGCGAGGCAGAAGCTGAGGCGGACGGCCTGGGCGTGGCACCAGTGATGCCCTCCACCCCCTCCCTGCAGGTGGTCCACAAGGGCACTGCCACCTGTCCTGCCTGTGCCCAGCCTCTGGAGGATGCCGTGACAGCCACCTGCGGGCACGACTTCTGCCGCCTCTGCCTCTTCCCACCCTCCCAGATGGGGTCCCAGCCCTCAGGCCGGATCCTGCTTTGCCCGGTGTGCCAGGAGGAAGAGGAGCAGACAGAGAACGTCATGACCCCAGTGCCCCTGGGCCCTTTGGGGGAGACCTGCTGTGAAGAACATGGTGAGAAGATCTACTTCTTCTGCGAGAATGATGCTGAGTTCCTCTGCGTGTTCTGCCGGGAGGGGCCTGCCCACCAGGCCCACACCGTTGGCCTCCTTGAAGAGGCCATTCAGCCCTACCGGGTAAGAAGCATGCTTTGGTCTTCGGCTCTTTCGGGGAGGGCAATATCCTGGGGGATTCAGCGGGAATCTGGACAAAGGACATGGCTTCTAGTTAGTTGGAAACCTCCTCCCATGCCGGTGACTCCACTTGGGTGTCAGCAGTTCATGGCCTCAGGATGAATGTCAACTCCAGTCCCCCAACTCCATCCCCTCTCCAGAAAGGCCTAGGGCCTCTTAACTCATCATGGAAGCTGCCCGGGCAGCATAAGGTCTCCTGCTGGCCAGGGGCAGGTCCATGCGGTCTTCCAGGTTTCAGATGGGAGAGGGACTTTCTAAGGCTCTGACCGCCAAGTCCCAGAGGGGAATGAGGAACAGGGAAAGGCAACCTACTGACACTGTTCTGCCTTCCTTTCTTTGGAAAAAAAAAATTATATATTATATATGATAATTTTTTTTCATTTTATTTGAAAGGCAGAGAGAATGATCACTCTTCAGTCCACGGTTCAGTCCCCAAATGCCGAAAACAGTTAAGGGCTGAGTCAGACAGGCCATAGCCAGAAGGGAAGCACTCAAAGCCAGAAGCAAAGCACTCAACCCAGGTTCCCTTGCGGGGGGGAGGGGGGTAGGCAGAGAACGTAAGCTGACACCTGCTGCCTCCCAGGGTGTGTGTCAGCAGGAAGCTGGATGGGGTGTGAAGGAGCCATGCTCATGGTGTGGGAGATGGCATTCCAGGAAGTAGCTTCATGGCGGTGCCACACATGCCCCCACTGCTGTGTCTCTGAGAAAAGGCAGGGTGACCACAGGCCAGTATCATGAAAATTTCCTATTTCATGTCTTTTCTAGGGAGTATTTTCTGTTCCTATCTGTTTCTCAGCTTTCATTTTGCCATCCAACCACAAGGTCTGGAAGTGGCTTGCTTAGAAACCTTGAACTCTGTCTTGTTCCCCAAGCCCGATTCTTCCCATCTCAGTTCCAATCATTGCATAGTCTACCACACAGTGTCCATCTCCATCAGCATATCCTCCTAAAATGCAAAGCTGGTCCTGTCACTCCTCTGCTCTATATCCGTCCGTGGATCCCCAGTGCTCCCAGGAACCCCCGTGCCTCCAGCCAGGTCCTCCACACCCTCAGCAGAGGATCCTCCCTTCCACCTCTCAGCCATCCTTCCCACAGCACCACAGGTCCTGCCAGGCTGAGCTAGATGCACCTGCTACTTCCTCGACTGTCGCACTCTTTTTAAAATATTATATGATATTATGTGTACATATATATACATATATATGTATGTATTAATGCTCATTACAAAGATGAGGGGATGGAGATTGCAGACCCGTATGGACCACTGATAAAGATGGAAAGGTAAGAATGCAGAGAAATGTGTCCAAGGCAAGGGCTGAGTAGGGGGAAGAGGATGTGTCACCCCTTGTTGTCAGCCTACATCAGTGCTAGGGGACAGAGATGGTCTATTGATGCCGCCTCAGGAGCCTTGGTTGAAGGAAAAATGTCCTGGGGACCGAGTGGTAGATGGATAAGATCCACGTAAAGCAGGGAAGGTACGACCTCATGTGGCCCTAAGCTTGCTGTGCAGCTGTCCCCCATTCTGACCCTCGTCTAGTGAGTCCTCATCACCGGCCAGGGCTTTCCCTTCAGTGGCCGAGCCCCCCACATCATCTTGATTGCCCTAAGACATTGTTGGCTTCATTGTACAAGGGATGTTTCCTCTGTCCTCATAGGGGCTCTTCCTTGTTTTCTCTGTATGAGTTCTAAGGCCTGTTGGTTGTTCATATCATCTTCAGAGAGTCACAGGTCTAGGTGCATTCTGTAGAACCCGGCCTGAAATGTTATACCACTTGCTTTTCTTTCCACTCTGAAGAGATACTTGAGGTCTTCTGTAGGGTTAGAGGATCCACTTAATCTTGTCTTTCATGTGCATCTGGAACTGCTCTTCATCTTTTTTCTGAAGTCAGCAGCACAGGTGGCCCGGCCTTGCAACAAATGCTCTGTGGTCAGATCACACATCATGGGATTCTCTGTGAGATGGAGATCCTGTCAGTCTAAGTCACTCATGTGACTAGGAGGCCCACTCCTGAGCAGGTCACCCTTCCCAGGCTGCCACCAGCCCTAGTTCTGACCCTTCTCAGTGGGGGATGCAGCCAGGCCCAGACCACTGCCTGCCCTATCTCCCATATGCACTGGTCAAAATGACTCTCCAGAATTCCTACCTGGCTGCCCCCACCGCTTACCATGGCCTGGCGCTTGTGTGCACTGGTGGGTGCCGTATTCTGTGCTTTTGAAAGCCATTCTTTATCCCTGCAGGCAGGGCTATCACTGTGTGCACATCTGCACTCTGGAACTTACCTGTTGATATTTTAATCACTCATGACAGACTCCTGCCCCATAGAGCGGTCTCCTTAGGACAAAGTGAACTCCTCCACCCCCAGCAGTGAGCCTGGGATGTGGCAGACCATGTCTGCGAGTCCAGCTGTTAATCCCGCTGCTTCGTTGGCCACTTCTCCTGACAGGAGCGTCTCAGGAGCCGGAAGGACGCGGTGAGCATGGAGAGAGATGAGATTGAGGACACCAAGTGTCGGGAGGAGCAGAAGATCCAAGAGTTACTGGTAAAGGCCACACCCCTGGCCACTTTCTCCTTTAGGGAGTTGCTTAACAGACTCAGCCAAAGCTGCCATCCAGCGTGTCTCGCCTGGCTGAAGAGAACCAGCAAGCTGTTCTCATTCCTCTTCCTGCCACCACTGAGAGGCATTTGGGATCTGAGGGTGTCACTATGCCTTCTAACTCAGGATCCTCTTCGCGCATAAACCTGGGGTCCAGAAAATTGATGCTTCTAAGATCACACAGCAAAGCTTAAGTTCATGACTGGACCCTGGGTCTCCTGCCTCCTGTCCTCACTGCACTGCCTGCCCCTCCCTGTCTGCATGCCTTAAACCACCACCTCCAGACAGGAAGCTTGGGTCCCATGGTGGGTGTGTCTGGACTCCAGCCCTGACTGAGGGTGGTGGGCTCACAGAGCGGCGGTGCCTGGCTCCCTCCCACCTCCTGTTTTGTGCTGCAGAGTTACTGGGGAAGGCATCCTCAGGGTAAGACTCCTTGGCAGCTGGGCCAAGGGGGCAGCGTTTGTGCTGGAGGGATCCCCGTATCCCTTAACCCCAAAGAAGGCGACCTCAGGGGCCAAGTCCAGTGTCACATATCGTGCAATAAAGCTGTGTTGGCTGGAGTCACAGCTTCTTTTTTGCCTCAGCTGTCCTGCACGAAATGACCATCATCGTCAGCATCCAGCTCCAGGGAAGGTGCAGCAGGGTTAAGATGCTCCCATGGATATGGAAGGACTTGGGGCAAGTTCAACATGGCTGTGAGAGCATCATACGGCATTTCCACTAGAATCCCTAGCTGAGACAGTCCTCAACATTGACGAGTTCATCCTGAGGCCTAGCCACTTCTACCAGAGTAATATTTTTAAGATTTACTTATTTGAAAGGCAGAGGTCTTCCTGGGCCCATTCACTCCCGATGCCTGCAACAGCTGGGGGCTGGGCCAGGTGACGTCAGGAGCCAAAAGTTCCATCCAGGTCTCCCACACAGATAGCAGGAAAATCCAAGTAGCTGGGCCCTCATCTGCTATCTCCCAGGCAAGTTAGCAGGAAGCTGGACAGGAAGTGTGGGAGTCAGGGTCACACTGACATCCCACTATGGAATGCGGGCATCCTAAGCGGTAGATGGATCTTCTCTACCACAGTCCCTGTCCCTACCACAATGTTATTTGAAGGAATGAGTCTTGGAATTACATACTCTTTGTATCTGTTCCTTTTTTAATTAAAAAAAAAAAAGTTTCCCATTTATTTGAGAGGCAGGGAGACAAACATAGGGACATCTTCTATTTACTGGTTCATCCCCAGTGGGATGAAATCAATTGTGATGAAATCAATTGTGTTTCCCATGTAGGTGGCAGAGTACTACAACCGCCTATCTGCTGCCTCCCAGGGTACACATTAGCAGGAAGCTTGGTAAGAAGCAGAGCAGCTGGGACTCAAGCCAGGCACTCTAGTGTGGAATGTGGGTGTCTCAAGTGGCATCTTAACTGCTACACCAAATTCCCCCAAAACCTTGCCTTAAGATCTGTTCCAATGAGCCTCATGGCAGTTGGTCCTCAGAGTCTCTTCTCTAGCCATCTCTGTCTTTCTATCCCTTGCAGACTCAGATTGAAAACAAGAAGCAGCTGGTGGAAACAGCCTTCCAGAGGTTGCAGCAGGAGCTGGAGGAGCAGCAGCGCCTCCTGCTGGACAGACTCAGGCAGCTGGAGCAGCACATCTGGAGGGAGAGGGATGAGTACCTCAGCACGCTCTCGGAGGAGGTGACGCGGCTGGGAGCCCAGGTCCAGGAGCTGGAAGACAAATGTCAACAGCCAGCAAGTGAGCTTCTACAAGTGAGAGACACCCCATGGAACCCCCACCCCCACCAGCATGGGCTGCAACACGCTGGAGAGAGGCTGGAAGGGGAAGCCGAGATGGCTTCTCAGGGGAGGGACTGGTGCTCACCCCGATTCTCGGATGCAGGGAGATCACGGAGATCTGGACTGGTGGTCCTGCTAAGGGCTTGGGGACCAGCAGCTTTGGAATAACTCTTGGTTCTTCTGTCTATGTGACTTGGGCACTCTCTTAACCTCTCCAAAGAAGCAAATAAGCATGGCCTCCCACCCCACCCCTTCGTAACAGCGTTGCAAATTTTAGAAGAAACAACCAAGAAAAATGCCTGCATGGGCCTCAGCACCCAGGAGAAAAACCTCAGCAAAACAGTGCCCATTGTGGTGGTCATCGTTGCTGTCCTGTCACACAGCAGGGCTGGCTGACAACCCCAGGGGCCCTGCTTTCACCCAGCTTAATCCATGGAAGGAAGCAGACCCCAGTCCAGGATAAGGCTGGACACAGAGGCGCTGAGCCCACGCAGGGAGGAAGCATGGTGGGGATTGAGGGGGGCAGTTCAGTCCAAGTATCTATCTAGAGGATGGGCGTTTCAAGCTGGTATTTTCAGACAGCCAGGGTGGATAGAAGTATGGATTGGAAGGTCATGTGAAACTAAGTGTGTGTTTTTGTCTTTCTTTTGTAGGATATCAGAGTCAGCCAGAGCAGGTAGGGCCCCTCTGCTAGTCCCATACTGAGTCACTTGCTATCCCCCCCATCTCTGCCCACAAATGTAGTGACCCAGAGAAGCAGCAATGCCCTGCCTGACACAGTCTCGCTCACTCACACCCCATTCACTCTCACTAAAGGCTCGCATTTGAATTGGTTGGTATTGAGGACAAGTCCTTCCCAACCCTCCAGCCAAGAGCTGAGGTTCTAAATAATATTCATGTTCCTAAGCTATTGTAGGAACATCTGTATAACCCACAGGTTTTAGTACTTGGGTTGACCAGAATCCCACTAATATCAAATTGGAACTGAAAACATTTACTATAATTAAACATAGGCATGGGATCTAAAGAGACCCAAGCACGTTCATTCATCTTCCCCACTCAGCTGCTCCTGAACTGCTCAGTGCTACTGTTCCAGGACAGCCGGCAGATGCTGGGAGCCTTGGGGGTTTCTGCTCCCTTCCCCTCCTCTCTGCTGTAAATGCAGCAGTCTGCACAGAGATGAGAAAATAGAGGGTTGGCTGGGAATTCTGGTCAACGCTCATGCCTTGTGACTGCATGTGCAGGGGACGGTGTGCCAAGGTGGGCATGAGTCATGTCTGCATACATTTTTTTAAAGATTTACTTTTTATTTAACTGAAAAGATTTACAAAGAGAAATATCTTCCATCCACTGGTTCACTCCCCAAATGGCTCAAATGAGCCAATCTGAAGTCAGGAGCTTCTTCTGGGTCTCCCATGCAAGTGCAGGGTTCCAAGGTTTTGGGCCATCCTTTGCTACTTTACTAGGCCAACAGCATGGAGCTGGATGGGAAGTGGGGCTGCCAGGACACAAATTGATACCCATATGGGATCTGGACAGATGCAAGGCAAAGATTTAGCCAATAGGCTATCACTCCAGGCCCTGCATATATGTTTCAAGAACAGCCACAAGAGCACTGGAGGTCTTCTAGTCTGAAGGATCTGAGACCCGTGGGCTGATGGCCACACAGCCGGTGACTAGGAGGACAGAGCTAAGACCGGACCTTTTCTCTGCAGTGTGTAGCTTCTTTTCCCTTAGCGCTTTAAGTCTCACAAAGCTCAGCCCACAAACTAATGATTAGTTGAACAGATGGTAAATACCGCCCTCTAGCGGCCGGTAGGAGAAATTACCTCTGCCCCTCTCAGCGGGAGGCGCACATGCCATTTTCAAGGGTCTACCTCCCCTTGTCCAGATCCGGTTACCCAGAGTCCTCCTTGAGTTTAACCGAAATGCCTGTGGCTTTAGCAACTCTATATTTCCACCAAAGGTAAATAAGTGATAGTCTAAGTATTCACCAAAGTCATGCACACATCAGATTTTAGCCTCACTCTGCATCACCCACTCATTATTTTGGGACTTTGGAACTGAACTGGTTGCTAACTCATCTGCAGGTGTGAGACAAGGACTTTTGTGTGTCCGGAGACCATTTCTTCTGAACTTATCCGGAAGACCCGCGACCTCCACAGGAAGATCCTCGTCCTCCCGGAGATGATGAACACATTCTCAGGTAAAGGGAAAGCCCCCACCCCCACCGCCTCCCTGCTCCACCTTCCCCTGCCTTCCACGTGGTCCCCGAGATGACCCTGTCACCGCTATCCCACCCCATGCCACCCCACCCCACCGAGCTTCCCCTTAGCCATCCCATCCCGCTGCGCTCAGGGGTCACTTTCCAGAGCTGCCTCTGCTTCTAAAAGCAGCAGACTCCCGGAAGGGGAGGGTCTCCTGTTTCCCCGGTTCACATCACAGCCAAAGCCCAGCTCAGTGCCATCCCTGGCCTCATCTGGCACCCAAGACCTGTCTCAAATCTTTCTTCATTTCTGTTTCCCTCAGAAAGGCTGGCGCATCATCTGGAAACAGATTCAGGTAAACAGCTGGGTGCTCTGGGGGCCACTGTGTCATGTAGCCACTTGGTCCAAGACCGCAAGCAGGACAATTAGACACCTACATTCTGGCCTTTTGTCTTTTAAAAATATCTATTTTTTAATTGGTTTTTCACTAATCTGAAAGGTAGAGAGCCCTTTCATTGGCTGGTTCACTTCCCAAAATCTTTTACCAGTAGAATCCCTGTCTCCCACACGGATGGCAGGAAACCAAGCATCTGTGATTCAGTACCTTCTGTTTCCCAGGAAGCTGGATTAGAAGTGGAGCCGGGCCTGGAACCCAACCACTGGGATGTTGCTTCCTCAAGCATCACCTTGTTGGGCTACAGTTCAGTGCCTCGAAAGCTTAATGAGCCGAAGCACGGCCTAAAGACCTTGTGAGAAATACACATTCTGCTGCTGTTGGGCTGCAACCGGGTTCTGGCTGCGTGCACCTAAAAGCGCCCAGGTGAAGCTGACGTGGCCCCACGCGCCACATCCTGGGAAGCCAATCCTTGAATGGCAGGTTGTGCCAGGCTCAGAGAGGCGCCGACAGCCGCTTTGCACAGCCAGGCTCCCTCCTCCGGCTCAGCCGCTGCGTGTGCTCTCTTTCCCGCAGGGCTCCTGATTCTGGACCCTCAGACGGCCAGCCAGAACCTGGTGCTATCGGACAACGGCAAGTCAGTGAGGTACACTCGGCAGAGGCAGAAACTGCCCGACAGCCCTGTGCGCTTCGACAGCCTCCCTGCTGTGCTGGGCTGCCCGGGCTTCACCTCCGGGCGCCACCGCTGGCAGGTGGAGGTGCAGCTGGGCGACAGCGGCAGCTGCATCGTGGGTGTGGCCGCCGAGGAGGTGAGGCGCAAGGGCGAGATGGGTTTGAGCGCCGCGGAGGGCGTGTGGGCCGTGATCCTGTCGCACCAGCAGTGCTGGGCCAGCACCTGCCCAGACACCGACCTCCCACTGACGGATATCCCATGCAGCGTGTGTGTCGTCCTGGACTACGAGGCGGGACGCGTGGCCATCCTGCACGCGGACACGCAAAAGTCCATCTTCACCTTCACAACCTCTTTCTCTGGCAAAGTTTACCCTTTCTTCTCTGTCTGGAAAAAGGGTTCCTGCCTAACCTTGAAAGACTGAGAGGAGCGATTGGGCGGCAGAGAGGGCAGTACTGGGTGGGGTTGGAGAAGGGGGACCCAGCTCCTCCCCCGAGGCCCAGCCCCGAGAACCCAGTTCCACCCCTGCATTTCCTGCACCTGATCTGGCTAGGAGAACACCCTGAAGCTGAGATGGGTGAGGAGAAGTCAAGGAGTCGGGGAGATGGGTCCTATTCCATCCATGAACACAGTGAGTTAGAACTTGCCTTGATGGCAGAGGGACACTCTCTAGTCCCCACTGGTGAATAAGATTAGTTGTTCAGGCCTAACTTTTCAAATATTCCTTTTTTAAAATGTGTGTTAAGGCCCATGCTGTGGTGCAGGGGGAGGCGGGGTGGATGTCTCATATGGCAGCCCTGCTTTGAGTCCCAGCTGTTCTGCTTCTCATCCAGCTCCCTGCTAATGAGCCTGGGGAGCAGTGGAGGAGGGCTCAAGTGTCCCTGCCACCTGCATGGAAGAGCTAGATGGAGTTCCTGGGTTCCTGGCTTGGGCCTGGCCCAGGAGCAAGAAAGGCAAAAAAGAGGAAAAGACTGAACTTCCTTCTGTGGGTCAATTTCCCAAGTGCACATAGCAGCTGGTGCTGGGTCAGGCTGAAGCTATGAGCCAGGAACTCCTCCATCTGGATCTCCCATGCAAGTGGTAGAGACCCATGCACTTGAGCCATCTGTTCTTGCTGCTTCCTGGATGCACTAGCAGAAAACTGGATCTGAGGCAGAACAGCCAGGACTTGAACTGGTGCTTTGATATGGGTTGAAAGCATGGAAACTGGCAGCTTAAAATTTACCCACCCCTCCCACAGCACCCATTGGTATGTATAGGACTTGGGGCTGGAGACAGAACTGTCCAGGCAACTCAACACACCAGTGTGTGCCTAGGCTATTGCAGGTGACTGGCTGAAACTGACCCTGTACTGGTTGGCACATATAAGAGTCAGGTCTTGGGTCACCCCAGGTGAGGTTTCTTGGAGGACTCCCCAGCTGGACCACTGGACTCCAAATTCTAGTCACAGGGAGAGTCATTGGATTTGTGGTCTGACCTTGGAATGCATGTCTCAGGACTGGGCCTCCTCTATTGGTGATGCCTATGCAGTAGATGGCATGCCCAGGTGCGTGTGGGGAACAAGATGGCCAGCTCATTTGGGCCTACAGAGGACAGCAAGTGCCATATCAGAAGATGGAGAGCAGAACGGGTGAGACAACTCTCCTGGCCAGCTGTGGCAGCTGTGTGAGTGGATGCAGTAGGGTGGACTCTATCGGTCAATGGACCTTGGAAAAGATTTCTTAACCTTAAATCAATGAAGCCAACAGCATCTTGGAACTATCAAAACTGCCCAAGTAATACCCTCAGAACATTCTTCTCCACATCGGGGTTTCTAAGATGACATCAAGTGGGCATCCCCCATCCCCAGGGACTGATGTAGTTTGGCAGCTGGGTGTGGCCCTTTCCCCTCCCTCGCATATGTCCCCATGCTTCGACCCTCCCCACCCTAATCAGTGTTTCCTCATGGGCACACATCCTTGTCAACTATGTAAACATCAACAATTAAATTATATTTAAAAACTAAATCTGAGATTTCATTTTTTAAAAAGTTGTCTGCCCCTCAAATACCTCTTCCTATTATTTGGACACAGAGAGAGACTCAGAGTTAACACTGTAAAGTGAGCTTTGAATCCCAGGAGTGTGGATAGCTTCCTCACCTCCACCCTTCCGAACACTCACACTTCCACCCTGCTACATAAGCCCTGAAGAAATGTGTGTTCACACACACACACACACACACACACACACACACACACCAAGGCCAGACTTCCTCTAATGCAAGGCAGTATGCTGGGCCCTAAAGCACTGCTTACTGCATGGCCCAAGCTAAGGTGATGATCAGGTGTGTTCAAGGCACTCAAAGAATAGGTGTACCATGTATGACTCTTAGAACAAGAAGGTAATGCAAATCATTGTGATATGAATAATTGCCCCCAACTTAATTGCTAGACAAATAGAGTCCTTGCTATAGAAATAACCAGAGGGCTTGAAACTTCTTTACATGAGTGTGACAGACAGAAACAAACAAGCAAAAAAAGCCAAGTGAAGGGCCAGTGCCATGGTGTAATAAGCCAGAATCCCATATGGGATTTGAGTCCTGGTTGGTTTAAGCTTCCATTCCAGCTCCCTATTTATGGGGTCCGGAAAAGCAATGAAGGATAGTTCACATCCTTCTACCCCTGTACCATGTAGGAGACATGGAAGAAACCCCCGGGTCTTGGTTTCATCAGCCCAGCTCCCGCCATTATGGTCATTTGGGGATTGAACCAGCAGATGTAGGACCTATCTCTGCTCTCTGTAACTCTGCCTTTCCAACAAAAATAAACAAATCTTTTTAAAAATAAACAAGATTCTAGAACATACACCTGTGACATTGGTTATATATTCTTTCGGCAAAAAAAACACTCAGATAGCCTCTGTCTGCTAATGACAATAAGCAACACCATGATGAACAGCTAATACCTTCCCTTTATGAAGCTGTGTAAGGAACCAAGATATGATCACCCATTGCCAGGTCTTCCAGTTAAGCTCTCATTACCTTTCTAGGATATCCTCTGTATGACGATGTGTCATTTCTTAATAGCTCACTGATGTATAACTATACAGCCTTCAACATGTCCAAGACCTTCTTGGCTGTGCTTCTCAAACTTTCATGTTTAAAAGTCACCTAGGAGTATTATAAAATTCAAATTCTGACTCAAAAAGTCCAGGCCAGAGCCTGAGATTTTGCTCTCTTGAAAAGCCCTTGAATGTTGCTATAGTACCATTTGACCCCAGAAAACCCTTTGAGGAAGCCTCTATGTGTAGGTCGATACCGCAGCACACCCAAGTACAAATTCCTGAGAAAAACTTCCAATGCACTTGTATTAAGTTGTGTGCTAGGCTGCAAGTTCCTGGCCAGTGTAGGTCTGGATGACCCTTCATGAGATATTGACTTTTAGGAGAATCAGTATGGTCAATGGTGCCCATTACAGGGTTGGTTATCAACAGAATTCAAACTTGAGCTCTTCTGGTTAGTGCCTTTGAATCTTAGTGCTTGCATATGAGAACAAGATAAATGACCTGGTCCACAGGATTACCACAAGGCTTAAATGTATTAATGCAAGTCATGGGCTTGGCATAGTGCTTGGTGCTCAAGAAGGAACTGATGTCCACATTTAGTCATGGCAGTGATGGATTTAAAACAAATTTCCTTTCATGAAACATGACAGGAGATTCATATCTTATCCAACTGGTCTGCAGGGTCAGAAAGAAACCAGTGTGAGCTATGGCCATGGGAACAGGACTGTCCCCTCTGGTCTGTTCTTCTCAAGTGTGATGGAGAACTCCGAGCTTGAAGTCTACAATCTGGGGACAAGACCAGCCTAGCACTCTGCAACAAACATAGCCAAGGTTACAGAGTTCACATGAGAACCACAGATGGAGACAAGCGTTTGCCCCACATCATTAATATAGATTGGGACACACCCCCTTCCATATCAGACTGTCTCCTATTGAGTCCTATTTCTTCTTCCAATTCCAGCTTCCTGCTATTGTGTGTCCTGGGAGAAAGCAGGTAATGGCTCAAGGATTTGGGTCCCTGCCACTCATGTAGGAGACCTGCTTCAGATCTGGCATCTACTAGCCCAGACCTCGCATTGCAGATATTTAGGAGTGAACCAGCAAAGGTAAACCCTCTCCCCACCTCTCTCTGCCTCACAAATAGAAAGAAAAGGAAAACAAAGGGTGGGGGAAGGAAAGGAGAGAGATGGGGAGAAAAGGGAAGGGGAAAGCGACTTAAGACAAGTGGATTTCAATCTAGGTTTTTGTTTTGTTTAAGTTTGTTTATTTGAAAGTCAGAGATGTATATATAGAGAGTAGAGAGTGAGAAGTCCTTCGTCTGCTAGTTCACAGATGGTCACAATAGTAGGGGCTGAACTAGGCCAAAGCCAGAAGCCAGGAGCTTCATCCAGGTCTCCCACATGCATGCAGGGGCCCAAGCACTTAGGCCATGTTTGTCTCTTTCCTGGGTGTGTTAGCAGGGAGCTGGTATGGAAGTAGAATCGTCAGGACATGAACCGGTGTTCATATGGGATGTTAGCATGGCAGAGAGTGGCCTAACCTGCTGCAACATAACGCCAGTCCCATCAATCTAGGTTTTGAAAACAAAATCATAAATTAAGGAACATGGACTCAGGTTTGGCCTTTGGTCATGGCCAAACTCCCCTGTATCTCTAGTCCTGGGGGTCCACAGTGTTCAAGAAGAATTACAGCTTCATTGCCTGGGGGGTCAGAGTAGGGAGTTTAGAAAAACAGCAAAATATTCAAACCCACAGGAGAACAAAAGTTAAACTAATGAGAACTGCCATGGGGATCACCTTAAATTTAGCACTGTGGGCTGTCACCAGTAAATATTTGTACACTCCTTCCCTCCCTCACCCGATTAGGACGAATACACAAGAACTAATTATTCTCAGGCCAACAATAAAGCCATTGCTACAGCGTCACCCCCTCACAGAAGTCTCTTTGTTGCGGAATTCTGAGACTAAGCCAGCAGTCCCAGGAGCTTCACAGAATTAACCATGAATGCAAACAAGTCAGGGGGCCCAGCCACAGTGATGTGAAGGCCACTTCTGGCCTTGGCAATGCCAATGATTTGACGTCAGGAGAAAGATCCCACCTTCACCAAGGATCCCTTCTAACTCTGGGAGCTGGTGACCTAGTCCCAGCCTTGAAAAGCTCCACCCAAGGACAGGGAGTGCTGCCTCTGCCCTGGAGGTATCACCGTGTCTCCAGTAGGCGGGGGCCAGCTTCTGGGTCTCTTGAGAAGACAGTGGCATCAGCCTTGTTTGCTCAGTTGAGAGCACATGGCCTCTAGAGACAGGACGTTTCTGGTTCAAATCCTGCCACACGGTTGGGTGACCTTGGGAGATTCAAGTAGCATCCTTGGGCTTCCAGCTGCCT